CCCCAAAACCCCAAAACCCCAAAACCCCAAAACCCCAAGAAGCAACAATTACAAAGATCATTAAAATTCTAGAAATAGAAATTACTGACAATAATATAATAATGATTATTACAACAGAATTAGCAAATAAAACGAATCTTAATAGCCAAGATATAGTTAAAGTACTACAGTTCATAATTAGAAGCAACAGAATTAATAATTTGAAAACAGGAGAAGTAATGAGGAGAATTATTACAACTCTAGTAACTACAATACAAGTAATAACAAAAATTCTGGTAACAGTGAAGCCAATTTGAGCTAAAAAGCTCATTAAAGTCAATCTGCAGATTAAAATCATCAGTCCTTTCTTAAATAAAAGCAAAAGGTCAAAGAGTTCTATGTCTGCTTTAATGAAAGACATGCTATTAATAAGGAGATATTGATATCCTTCACTGAGAACCATTTTTTCGAAGTGCATTAGAAAAAATAATGTAGTTAGAGTACATATTTGAGGGTTGCTTATGAAAAGATATATAATGAAAACTTAGTCAAAATATTTGATAGATTGAAAAATGAAAACTTATGGGATAGTGAGTTTAATATGTTTTATCCAATGAGATTTGATTGGAACAATGGTTTTATTAGCAAGGATAATCTAGAATTAATGAGACAAATGCTTAAAAATCTAAATTTCTTACCTTATGATGAATTTACCAACTTCGAAAAAATATCATCAGAATTGAAATCAATCGTGGAAATGTAAAATGAAAGAAATAAGAGATACTAATTAAAGAAGAAAAGAGATCTTAATTTCAAAGATACTTAGAGATAGTTTTAATCTCAAAGATGTCAGATTTAACCAAGTTAAAGTACAAAGAAGGAAAATTAAAGCTCTTATGATAATTAAGTTAATTAGATAAGTTCAAAGACTATTCCTTACCAGCAATAAGCTCTCATTAATAAAGCAGAAAAGCAAATTCAAGATGGAGAGTCAGCTTTATAAACAAAAAAGCTATCTCTATTGTAAAGTAATGATCGAGGTAACTTAATAAAAAATAGAGTTTCATTTTAGATAGAATAGCAAAATCAATAGGAATTAGTAGAATTATTAACAGAAACAGAGGAGGAATAGGAGGACGAAATTTAGAATAAGATTTATAATAAATAGCTTTCAAATATCTAGAGTTAGGATTCAAGGATTGATATTTGCGGAAGCTAGCATGATTAAATACCTAATTAACTCCCATAAAACGAGAGCCCTCTTGTTTCTTAATTTCATCAAACCTAAGCAGTTACAAGTTCAAAACGGCTTTCATCCAAAAACATTGTGGGTTCAAGAAGAGCGACAAGGAATTAAAAATCAAGGAATACTTAGAGTTGTGTTTCTACAAATGAAAAGAATAAGAAAAGATCTTCTAAAGCTTCAACAAAAGAGAAGAAAAAAAGGCTTAAAAAATTAAAAGACTAAGAAATTACAACTTAAGAATTAGTAGAGGAGCCATAGGAGAATTAATAGCTAGGATAACTAGAACAGACGGAATAAACTGAAAAAATTGACAATATTATGGAATAGAAAGAAAATGATGAGGAGATGCGAGTGGAGAATATGCTTAAAGAAGAAGATAATTTAGATGATTTTAATCAAGGTTAAGTTGCAGGGAAGTATTATAAACTAGAGTTCAATGGTAAATCTTTGCTTTTGCTTGAAGCTGAATCATTACAGAATATTAGAAGTCTACAAATAAAATACAGTGATTAGTCAGATCCAAGACATTTAGTATTTCAAGAGTCAACAGGCAATCTCATAAAAGTAGGGTTGCCAATTTGAAATGAATGATATAAAATAGTTGAATTTAGATTTTAATAATCAATCAATTTTGTTAATATAATTAGTAATACTTAAAATATTAGCTAGAAACAAATACCTACTTATTCGATGATGATACAGATGATAAACATAGATCTGAGCGATTTAATCTTCAATATATAGTAGTAAACCAGACGATCCAAAAAATGATGAAGATTAGTAATACCAGCAAAATGATTATTCTTCTCCTTTTTATTGCTCTTCTATTTACATGGTGTATTTTAACAGTTGGATTTAATGCAGGAGTGGGTATCAACAAAGGCTACATTTATTAACTTTAAGGTCTCTGAAACGTAATTTAATTAGAAGGAGATGGAGATTACTGGATAACTATATTGGTAGTCCCACCTTTTTCACTAGATGGTGATATTTGAGGCATAATGTATTAAGAGTTATAGGGCTACTACTGCTATTAATAAGGGCTCTAGCCATAGTAAGAGGGAATCTGATATTGTTATCCATTGTGACTTTGATATTATATGTATTAATGCTAATATTAATTGGGCAGCAGCTGACTTAATGGCCTCTGAGTCAATTGAGAATTCGGCAGCTCTGAATGAGGTCTTTACATTGTATTAATTTATATAGCTTGAGGGGCTTCTGATATCTTTTTCTTCTCCATATCAACAGGATTGTTCAATTTCTTATCCTAACTTGCATCAATATCATGGTAGTTATAAGATAAGTTTATCTGCTAGGCAATTTGGAACTAATCTTATGTAAGGTTAAATTAAGTTTAGTTTTGTGTATTTGTAAGACTAGTAGATATATTTTGAGTATTTAATGTTTGAATATGATCTTATTTCTTGAGTTCTTCATTTTCCTAGTTATTTTCCATTTTGTTTATTCTATTTTATTAATAATTTTGGATAATTGTAAGTCAAAATTTTCATACATACGGGGTTTTGGGGTTTTGGGGTTTTGGGG